AACTGAAGCACTTGTGCACAGGGAAGGAAACTGGCAAATTGATGGCAATCCACAGGATGGAAGCAAATCTTTGTCAGGTATTCATCAAACAAAGTTTAGTGTTTAGAATAACAAAGAACTCAGAGAACTAAACAATAAGTAAGCAAACTATGTAAAAAGTAGGATACAGAACCAAACAGAGAGTTCTGAAAAGAAGAGATATAAATGGCTAGGAAACAATTAAAAAGAAAATGTGGGACATCCTTAGCTATCAGAGAAATGCAGATGAAAACAACATTAAGATTCCATCTCACAGTTGGTCAGTGGTGGCATGTGCCTTTAATCCCAGCACTCAGGAGGCAGAGGCAGATGGATCTCTGAGTTCGAGGCCAGCCTGGCCTACAGAGTGAGTTCCAGGACAGCCAGGACTACACAAAGAAACCCTGTCTCAAAATAATAAAAAATTCCATCTCACCTCAGTTAGAATGGTCATCATCAAGAATTAAAAAAGACAACAAATGCCAGTTTGGATGCAGGGAAAGAGGAACCTGTATACATTGTTGGTGAGGATGTAAAGTAGTGAAACTATTTTGAAAATTAGTCCAGATGAGAAATAAGACTACCATGTGACCAAGCTATAGCATTCCTGGGCAAACACACAAAGGATTCTTTAATGCTACAGTGACACTTGTACATCTATGCTCATTGTTACTGTATTCACAATAGCTAGGAGATGGAAAGAGTTTACAAGCCTATGAACTAATGGATGAGAGTGAAAATGTGACACATATACACAATAGGATATTATTCAGATGTAAAGAAATGCAATACTTCATGTTTTCTCTCATCCTTCTTTAGTTTTGTATTGTAGACTGGATTACTACTGGAGGCCAGGAAACTAGAAAAGGACTATTGTGGGGGGTGACTTAAGGGAAAGAGATAGTATAACGTGTAAAAATAAAGCTGAGAGGAACCCTTAGAGTAGAAAGGTTTAAGCAAGGATGGGAGTGGAAGGCTGGAGGGGAGGATTGATCAAAATGAAAGATAAAAGAAAAAGCCATATGGAAAATGACAATGTTGTAATCCAATTAAAAATACAAATGAGAATGAGGGGAGATACCCTGTGAGGTTAGATAATGTTGTTCCTAGTAACAATAGGGTAATAAAATTCCCAGTGCCAGGTATGGGATACCAACATAAGAATTGTTGTCAGTCAGAAAGTTCTCAGAAGTCCCCAAAGTAAGCTATTTTCAGTCTTCTTGGCTGTCCATCAGAAGTAGAGGACACCACACACTTCTATTGCAAGATACAGAAAAAGTAAGCTGGAACTGAAAACTTCCTTCATGCCAAAGTTATTTCCAAGTGTCAGCAGATGTAATGCAGGCAGCTTAGGGACAAAAGGCATTTGCAGTCTTATGTATCTATAATGCCTATGAGATATAAAAACAATCTGTTAGACAAGATGTGCCCACCTGTGTAATAGTGGCATGAACTGTTAGGAAGGCAAACAATGCTTCTGAATAGATCGAGGCCTGTTCTATGGGAGGGAATCCATGCCTGGTACTCTAGAGCCAATTGAGAACCCATGCTCCATAGATCACAGTTCCAAGGGGGAACTTACTACTCTTATTTCATTAAATGGATATAGTAGCTGTCTTATGAATATCTATGCTTATACATAAAGACAAAAATATTCTCCACTTTAATCAACAAAGCCTGCCTATGTAGTGCATAGACATGAATGTAGAAACTCATAGTTGTCCAAGACTAAGAGATTAAGTGATCAAGACATGTTTATCAGCCTCCCTTAGGTTTAGAGAACATTGTAGAAGAGGGGTTAAAAATAATATAATATTTGGAAGATAGGAAAAGGGCTTCAAAATGCTATCTATTAGGCCATTGTGAAGTCATAGCATAACTCATAATACTGAGCCTGCACAAGATTGGCCTTATCACCAATCAGTCATGGATGGGAGAAGAGCTCATGAAGCCCTACAACTTCCTGCTGAACCATTGGATACTGACAGATTGAGAGAAGGGGAATCATTGTCATCAGTTGAGCACCTACTGCTGTGACCATCAGACTCCAATGGAGAGTTCAGCAACCATGTTCATACAGATAAGTCACTGTTGAACTCAGTGGGTCACAAAATAAAACAAAGAGGAGTATGAGAAAGAGATTTGTGGGAGTGGGGAAGATGGTGGCAGAGAGGAGTGTGCTCAAAGGCAGTAGAGGATGACAGTATGTATTATATACATTTATGTCAAAGAACACATTAACCAATACAAAATAGAGTGCCCGAAAAAAAAAAGGAAACAGGGGAAGGATATTGGTGCTGGCTATAATAAAGGATTATTTTCTAGAATTGAAGAGCATAAGTCTTCAGATGAAAAGGGCCTATTTCATGAAAAAGGAATTAAAAAATACACTCACTCTTTCATATACATATAATACTGCAAATTTCCAAATATCAAAGAGAAGGAGAAAATGTAAAATGTACCTAGAAATACAAAATTATTCTTCTATAAAAGGACCTAAGAAATGGAGTGTCATCAGACTTCCTATCAACAACACTGGTAACGAATATAATGAAGACACATACAAAATTCTAAGAAAATTGGATTTTCATATCACTGACATTAATGCTCAAACTTCATATTTGAATAAGGACAGTTTCCAGACCTGCAAGAACTCAGGAAGATTACTTTTCTAAATCCATTTCTTAGGATATTTTCAGAGTTATAATCTGTTTAAACAAGAGAATAAATCATAAAAGATGAAAATGTGGGTCTTTCTTAATATGGCTTATATCTAGAATGTCCAATGAAGGCTCATGTGATGAGCCTTGGTCCCTATCCTGTGGTACTACCAGGTAGTAGTAGAACTCTTGGGATTCTGGAGTGGAAGAAAGTTAGGATGTGCTCTTGAATGGGACACTGACCATGGTCCCTTCTCCTCTTTCTGATCCCTGGCTGCCACCAGGTGAGCAGCCTCCTCTTCCATGTGTTCTCATAATCTCATATGCCACCAGCAGCCCAAAACAAGCCACCATGCACCCAAACCTCTAGAAGCCTGAACCAGATGAAGCTGTCCTTTTTTTAAAAAGTTGTTTAAGTATTTGTCAGAATTTTTAAAAGCTGATGAGGAGATTCCTAGGATAGCGAGCCTGAGGTCTCACCACTTTGAAGTTTGAGTTGGAGTGGGTAGAGGAAAAGCTGTCTACAGACAAAGGAAAAAACCTGGAAGGACAAAAGCAAGAGTTTAGCAGCAAACACAAACTCCAGTGCTTCATTTCAGTCTCACTCTGAAAATAAATTAACAGTAAGTGACTCAATGTTGAACAGTTAAAAGACGATAGAGGTACTACACTAAACACTATAAATACTAATTTCATACAAAAATTAACAAAAGCAGTTTATTAAGGCCAAATCTCACACAAAATCATAAGAAACAAAAACAAGATATAAAACTCTTCATAGACAATGAAAGAATGTTGCAATGTACAATTTCATTTTTATTTGTTATCTATTTAGATATATGGTCTTGCTATATATCTCAGCCTGGCCTGGACCTCACTGTGTAGCCCAGACTAACCTTACATTTAGAGCAATCCTCCTGCCTAAGCCTTCTGAAGTGTTGAGATTGTCCATGAATACCATAGTGCCTGGCATAACTTCTGATTTCAATAATCATTTCAAAATGCTAAGGGTGTTTTAAAATTGTAGTGTTCCACACTGTTAACATACTGTTGCTTTGCTTTTCTTCTTTAGGAAAAAGTAAAACTCACTTAGATATACAAAGGTTCCAGACTATTCTCAGCATGCTATCAATAACAGTAGCTATTATTTTCATGAGCACTTTTGGGGGGATCTGTTAGAGAATTACCCACTGTATCAGCATATAAACAAAGCCATTTAGAAATGTTAAACCTTTTCCTTAAAATTATAAAATAAAATCTAAAACTCAATTTCCAGAAAAAACATTGACAACTTAAGCATGGCTCCAGAAAAAGCACAGTCTTTATAAGTCTTGACAATATAGGAAGGATCAAGTTGACATTGGTGGCAAAAGATGGAAGCGGAAGGTTGGAAATCATCATCTAGGCAACAAATGAGGAAACTGAGAAATTTTGTTTTTGTTATGGAGCAGTAGGTGAAAGAGTTTGATCATGTTCTTTGAAGTTGCTGGGGCTAGTAGAGAGGCCGCCTTCTCACTGCATTTCCAAAGGATGTTTCTCTTCTAGTCCAGCTGCAAATGCCCCAGGTGTCCTAGAGCCATAGGGTTGGGCTCTAGATTCCCATGCTTCATTCCTAACTAGAGCACTGTAAGGAGGAGGCACACCTAACTGGGGTTTATGCATGCAATCCACTGCATCCAGAGCCCCCAAAAGTTTTAATCCCAGCTCCTGCCTAATTTTCTAGCCTCCTATCAAATCTCCAAGCCCACTGAAGCTCAGCCAATATAATCAGCCATTGTTGCTGTTGTTTAAGCTACCTAGAAAAAGTCTCTCTCTCTCTCTCTCTCTCTCTCTCTCTCTCTCTCTCTCTCTCTCTCTCTGTTGATGGTAGTATGTGGGGGTGAAAACCATCATAGAATTAAAATCCAGTAGATTCTAGAGTTCTATTTGGCTCTTTTTAACTTGAGAGAAGATTAACATTAAGGAAACAAAATGGACTTTTTTCAAGTCACATGCTAAATCACCTCCAGATATGCCAATTTAATAAATGGACCATAGAAACTAGACTAGAAATATATAGTGACAGAAAAATGTTTGGTGGCCATAGGCCTAGAGGGTACTGTGGGGTATTTACCCACCAACCCTACAGTTCCCTGGAGTTTTCTTGAGTGTGAGCAGCAGGATATATTAGATAGAAGGATTTAGATTGTGGAGATAAACAGATAGAAAATAAAGGATAGCCTCTAGAGGGCCTGGAACCTATTCCAACGGCTGACTGTCTCTACCCCAGGGTATTTATAGAGATGCCAAGGGGTGGAGCAAAAGACCTCCCCCCAGCACAGCCAAGTGCAGACCATCTCAGACACCTGCACTCAGGCCTGTGGTCCCAACCATCCTCTCTATGCAGACCTGCTGGGTAAAGCCACAAGGACCCTGAAAATGGGCTCCCACGGGGTACCAAGGGCAAGGCCACCTCCATGAATGATACAAGTGCTGAGGATTTTCTTCTTTTCTAAATAATTTCCTTTTAGCCTACAAAGAGTCCTGAACTCCCCAAAGACTAAGGCTTTGAAGTACTGCCAATCTCTGACCCAAGCCATTCAGCCAACCTGCCAGAACACACTGATGATAAGAGGATGCTAATTACCAGAGATTTGTTTTCATATGGAACATGAAACTCTCTCATTATCAGAGGCTTTGCATCAGTTAAATTATACAGATTCTCAATGATGGCAGAATGTGCTCATTTTGCTCTGGTTGTACTAATACTGCATGGCTGCCTAACCTCCTAATTGGAGTAAAATGGAGACCAAACAGGGCAGCAAATACCCAAAGGAAGGTCAAGAGAAATTTTGGAATATTTTAATTACATTTAAGGGATCAAGCAAAAAGAGCCCGGGTAAAAACAGCGGCACAAACTCTGAGTATTCTGATATCAGACCACCTTAAGACAGACAGAAGACAAAAGGGCATGGATACCCACTGGGTAAGTATCTGCCATATATCAGATATCTGAAAAATATGAACTCATTAGTTGCTCATACTCCATTCAATAATGGAAAAGGATAATTAACCCCAGTATCAAGGTCAAGAAATTAAGGCTCAGAAATAGAAGTGAGTTCTTAAGGTCAACAACAGTTCAGTGGTAGGCCCAAAGCTCCAAACAGGTCAACTTCTGATATACCATTTCTGAATATAGTAGATGATTAATACTACAAGAGTGGGAGAAGACAGCCAGAAGAGAAATCCCGGTGTGGACTTTGAACCCCATGGCTGATTTTCATCTAAGTCCCTGACTTCCTGAGCAAAACAACACCTGAGTGAGGCTGTGCTTTTCATACTCATTTTAGTCTAAAATGTTTGGCACATATTAGCTGCTGTGTAGGATAAAAGGCCATGAAGGCCCTTTGAAAAAATGTGACTGTATTATCTACTTAGTCAGAACCTCTCTGAACATGAGAATTGCATTTGAAAGAAGAGGATGGGAGAAATCAAGTGCAGACTCTCTCTGAATTGTTCCCGGGTCTTTAATATTCAGAGAAGATTGTTTGTTATTGGGTTGGGCTAGGGAAGATGGATGGCCATCACTGCCTCTGGCTGCCTTGCTTCCTGGCTGATGAGATTGCATGTCTGAATATAGTGTTTGTCTGTCTTATTCTTTCCTCAAAGCATTAGACTTCGAATAATTGAAAATACAGCGATCTTCTTTTCCAGTCACAGGGTTATGTCCCTAAGAGAGGGAGTAAATTCGGAATCAAAAAAAGAACTACAGCCCATTGATGCAGAAGAGGAAAGTTCAATGATATTGGTAGTTGAAGAATGGCTATTCATCTCTTTCCCTATCCTGGTAATTTTTTTTAAAGGTTTATTTTTTATTTTGTGTATGTGTATGTTCTGCCTGTATGCATGTCTATGTAGCACATGCCTGAACTGCTCACAGAGGGGAGAAGAGAAGGTCAAATCTAGAACTAGAATTATAGATGGTGGAGGCCACTCTGTTGGTGCTGGGAGTTGAACCGAGGTCCTCTGCAAAAGCTTTTAACTGCTTTAAACTGCTCTGTCATCTCTCTAGCTCCATCTCATCACCATAATTTTGAAAGCAGGCATTTTGGGCCAGTAGACTGGGAGACTTTCTAGGGTTGGGAGCATAGAAAGCATGGATTTATTCACTACTTTTATGTCCAGCACTTCCTATAAGCCTGGTGACTAGTTGTCAACAAGTTGTCCTATTGGCAAAAGAACCCACTGTCATGTTACAATCCAAGCTAGGTAATGAGCTCCTCATCTTGTCTTCATATTTTCCATGCCTGGCACAATGCTGTGTAACATATAATGCCATGTTCTTAATAAATGTATGAAAAAAATACCTTTCAGAAAATCTGAGATTAACCCACCCTTCCTTTAACCTGCTTTGCTCCCCCTGTCTGTGCGCCCTAGTATCCTATGATGTCCTTTTAACTTAGCAACATAAGCAGCTAAACGTAAAGGAGGACCACCATCCCTTAACATGGAGAAAACCGGAGATTGCGGGTATCCAACTGTACTATGCAGAACAGGCTTTCAGATCGAAGAGATGCGCATGGAAAGGGAAGAGCTTTTGTGAACTGAAATATAATATATAAAATATACCCTCCAAGAAGGTAAGAAAGGCCCTTGTTTTCCACAGGGCAGATCTGGCTTGGTGCACCTGCTCTGTTCTTCACATTGCCAGCACTTCTTTCAATCAATGTACTCGTCATATGAGGCAGCATTTTCCTATCTAAAGCTTTATTCAATGCACCATTGACAGCAGAGACACTGTTCTGTTCATTAGTGACTCGCAGGAATCCTGGGGAAATGTTGAATAAATAAATGGATTCAATCAAAACAGAAAGTAGGGAAGTGTCTACCTTAAAAGAGTCTGCCATTTTCCTGGTCTTCTATGGCTGTGTGTAGTGGGTAGCCATTCCAGCTTGGATCTGGAAGTTCCAACCCCCATTGAGACTCTGGCAACTGTCACGCCTACAAGGCGGGGCAAGGGGAGGAGCTGGAAACCCGAGAGCTGGATGGGCGAGCGCGCGCTCTCTCTGTGCACTTTCTGCGCCTGGACCCCGGATGATGGAGGTTGACTGTGCAGAGCTCCAGAGAACACCGCTGGATTGCGATACACCTTCCCCAGACCCCCCGCAACCTATCCATTCCTTCATTTGTAAGTCATCCACTAAATAAATCTTCCTTTTAACTACGTGGAGTGGCCTTTATAATTTTCCCCAATAGCTGTGTATCATTCTAATCTATAGTTTACACTTTTGGCTCCCAATTGCACATACAGAGAGCTCAATGAATACTTGATCATTCCTTGCCTGTCTTTTATGGGTGCTCTGCCATAACTAGCCCCTTTTACATTCCAAAGATCCTTTTTATTATACAAAAGTAGGTCTGAAGCAAGCTAAAGCCATTTTCCTTTTGTCGGCGTGGTCTCCTTCTACCTTCCCTATTGTGATTGTTATTTACCTCTTGGAACTCATTTAAACCATTAGTCTCCATGCTCCTTGTTAGCCATTCAGTTTAGTATGCTAGCTTGATCCTGGTTCGCTCTGAAAAACATACCATATTGATTTGAAAATGTGGGGCCTGCGTTTGTCACATTTATCAACTCTGTCAGGTACAAAACTGTTTTCTTCCTGTCAGAGCAGATTAATAAGCAGCAAGCTTTCCAACAGGTGTAAGATGGCCCCCTCCTTATTGACGGCACATTGTCTTCTGGCCTTTGTTTTGATCTTTTTAAAGTGCTCAATAAATTAATTACCAGTAATTAAATCTTCACATCAAACTGTTGGATAGTGGACATATACAGGCTTCAACATTTATTCTGAGCAGAAACTGAGGCCTTCAGCCCCAAATACAAACATGACTTTATCACTAATGTCTTCTCTGCTAGATGAAGGCTATGGAAGGGAATATACACTGTTACTTTTTGGTCCTATATGAGAGGCATGTTGATATTTTTAGTTTTATTTACAAGTACCTCTCCCTATATTCCACTGGAGAGGAGTAGACCCTAAACTGGGAAACTAGCTTATGCTTAGCAGTTGATTTCTTCCATTTATTCTCTCCAGGGCACTAGAAAGCCTGTGATTCCTTGAAGAAACTGGGGTCAACATGCATTGCATTATTTCAAAAAGGTGATTGCTGATAGCCTGCCTGCTGGAAGGTCATCTACAATGCCAGCTAATAAATTTCCAAAGCTTCCCTGGAACACACACTTGCATCTTTCCCACAAGAATAAAAGCAATCTGTTTGCCACTTTATTTATTCATTTATTTCTAAGCTGAAGGAGCTACTTTCTTCAATCTAGCCTAAGGTGAACTCTTGTCTGCCTTTGGGGCTTTGAATATTGATGGCTGCCTTCAACTTTCAGTTGCTGGGGAGAAGAGCAAGAAACTCTGAGCCAAACCCAGGGGAGCTATCAATTCTCTCTAGGTGTATTGCATACAACATGCCACCTCTATCCATTGTAGTGGAATGAAGAGGTGAATACTAGAGTTGTGCTGAGGATGCAGACTACAGAAGTAGGGCTAAAACTGAATAAAGTGGCTCTCTGGTTAGCAGCAATTGGAACATGTGGCTTGAGCTTGTAGCTCTGATACAGGCAGCTGCTTGAAAAGGCATGTGCTGGGTAGGCAACTATAATAAGAACAGCCTGACTCTTCTAAGTTAACAAAGAAGATTTGAAGTCTTAAAAAGTCACACTGCTACCTCTAAGACCCTCTAGTTCCGCCATTACCAAACCCTTAGCAGATTCTGGCCCCTTGCGTGTACACAAGCCTGAGCAACCTGACCGAATGCCCCACACAGGACCTTGCATGCAGTGTCAGGTCAGCCCTGGAGGGTGGCTCCTATTATATGAATGCTGGTTTAGTTCTGAAATAGAAGTGGAAATCACTTCCTTACAGTCTGTAAGTGCTAGCTCATATACAGTTTGTCCATTTGGAATATTCAAAGCATGGTTCACTGTTTTGTGCTCCAGAATCATTGTGAGCATGTGGGGTCAACCATGAGCACACATCCAAGTTATCCTAACTGGGATAATGAGCACTGGCCCATTTTCTTTAAACTCTGACTAAGAAGATCTGTGGCAGGGTTCAGAAACCCGAGTTCTTAATGAGCTGCTGACCAAGTACTCCAATGATCTGAAAGAATTGGACTCAAAATGTTTAATTGGCTTAGTTTCTGACAACCACCACAGCTTAACTGCCCTTTCTACCAACTCAGTAACTGAGCACAAATGAGACAGTTTATATAATGTCATACAAGAATGCAATACCAGAGTTAGGGCTGGATCTAAGGTCTGTCACCTTCCTACCCTGTCCTTCTGCTTGCTTGTGGGAAAAGAACAGGATGAGATGAAACCATAACCACATATTTTTCAAAGTGGACACAGCCTGCTGTGGATCTGAAATGCCCTCAGTGATCAATGTTATTTCCCAAACACAGAACTGTCTAATGCAATGAAGTCCCTTGAGTATTAATGTCAGCAACACCTTAAGGATTTTGACAGGTTAAAAAGTCTTCACGCATTCCCCAATGCCACTTGTATGTGGAGAGGTGAGAGGGTGGGGGAAGGGAGAAGTGTTATGTCCAGTTAAGAAACATTCATAAGGAAAGGAGCTCTGATTGACTGGTACACAAAGGAGGTCTGACTTGGAAATTTAATTTTGCCACTAATATACTGGATCCTGAAATACATCCCAGGCCCAAGACCTAATATGTTTCCACCAGATCTCTTAAGATCCCTTCTTTGGATTTTTCTAGAAAAGAGTTTGTACGTCCTATAATTCAAGGAGTACACTGAACACTCATGTCCTAACACTCGAGGACTTCAATCACCATAAGCCAAGAATAACACTGCCATGAAACAGGTCCACTCTGAAAGGGAGACCAAAAAAGGGGCAAATCTGGAGCATAAGCCCCACATCTACTATCCCTTGTCACTCACTTTATATTTTCCCATCCTACTTAGATATCTTTGCATTTGGCTGTGTTATTCTGTTGCTCTTGTTTGACAGTGACAGAGATGCTCAGAGTGCAGAGAAGAAGTGAACTCTCACCACAATCTTAGTGGAGGCAATTAACTTCTACAATGCCTAGCCAAACTGCAGAGTGTTGCCTATGTCAGCTTCTTCTTTTATGAAACTGAAAAGGCTGTCCTTGCTGTTTGAGAAGTAGCCCCAGCACTCCAATGTATTATGGGTATATTTCTCTTTATTTGCAGCAAATAGGAGAGAGATCTTGAGATGATGATATGCATTTCCACAGACCTCACTTAGTTCTCTACATATCAAGCGTTGATTTATCTTTGATTTACTTTATCTTGGTCTACAGCTGCCCTCTGGGTTTAGCAGAGTCCACTAACCCAGCACTTTTGGGCTAACCTAAAGCCATTTGGTTTTCTCTTAAAAGAACATAGAGCTATTTGTTTTTTAGAACTGGAACTCTACCCCTTAGGCCAGTTCCTTTGGGCAACAAAAGCACTGGACTAATTTCTAGTATGGGCATACGATTAATGGAAATGATCTGCTATAATTATCCTTTCATCTACCAGTTACTGCCTCTTCAAAGAGCTCTGAACCAGAACTATTGACCAGTCGTTGTTTACTTTCAGTCCATTTCATTGTAGTTCATAGTAGTTACGTCAGAGCAATTCTTTCCTGTGTGTATTTTTTCTAGAACTGCAGGGCTGAAAGAGATGGAACTAATATTACTCCAACTTATCATTTTACAGCTATGGAGACTGTTTTGTTTAGAGTCATCTGGCTACTAAACAATAAAGAGAAAACTAAATCAGGTATCTGCTGATGCCCAATTCAGTACTTCTTCTATACTGATTCCATCATAATAAAGTCTCAAACTTGCAGCCCTAAGGAAACCATCAAGAAGAGAGTCTAGACAGAAGTACTTGTCAGTTTCCATCTTGATGCCTGATAAAATGTTTGGAGATGTGGCCTCATTCTGTCTCAACTTAATTGCCATAATGGTGTTCAAAAGGATTCCTTAAGAGAATGACAATCTTAGATTTTCAAGTAGGTATGGATGAAGCACAACTTTATAGATATGGGTTGACTTTAGCTGAAATATTCCTTCATCATTTTTTTTGAAATCATATCAGAACCCTAAGAGTTTTAGTCAAACACTGGAATTCCTAAGGATGGAAAAAACAGACTGCATTTAGTGCACACTGATCTGATTTAACATTCAGGGTATCAGACTAAAGACCATCCCCTAAAAAGAACCAAGTTCTACCCCTTGGAATATGTATGATAACCTATTCAAGGGGCAAAAATGAAGTTGAAAACAGAAGAACCAGTGCCACAAACACCTCCATTGGCTATTTCTAGAGATGTCCACTAAGTTGTATCCTCCAAGCTCCAGCCCTTACTCGATGCTTCCATACTTAGTTAATATTCCTGGGTTGTTTCACTCTATAAATGGCATTACCATTCACTTAGCTTCCCAATCAAAAGTCTGAATGGCATCTTTTATTCCTCCTTGTATCCTCTAATCCAAGTTATAGTCTAGTACCCCTCCTTAATATCCCATCATTCTCTTTCTTTCCCTGAACCACTGTCAGCCTTCCTCTAGGCTGCAACAAAAACTTTTTGTCCCAGATCACATTCTAAACTGGATGAAGAGACCAGAACACTGTGTTCAACTGTGGTTGAATTCTGGTCCTATATGAAAGGTTCTCACTGTATAGCCCAATTTGGCCTCAAACTCACTGTTTATAAGAGGCTAGCCTCAAAATTCATGATCCTCATGCGTCAACCTCCACAGTGCTGGCACTGTAGATGTGGCCACCAAAGATGACTGAAACAGATTTTCTAATTAGCTACTTATATAAGTAGCTTGTTCACGGAGCTATGACCTTTGAAGAGTGGAGGATAGATCTGAATCATCTCTGTATCTTCGGAATCTAACCCAATTACCTGGTGCAAATTAGACACTTATGTAAAGAGATGTTCATCATTTACAACTGTTTAGTATCCCTGGATAGCTTTGCACATCTATTATGAATCAGAATATTGTCTCCAAACCTCATTTGCCCATAC